TTTCTACTCCTGTAAAGATTTACACCCTTGGAAACCCTGTACAGGGTCGCTATGGGTCGGAACCGACTCGACAGCACTTGACAACAACAACAACAACGTGATGGCTGGAACTGCGGTTGCCTTTTCAGGGCCAGAACAAATGATATATAGCCCTGTATAGCTAGATGTCCCCACCCCTGCTACACAGGTTCACTATGAGTCAGAACCAACTCAACAGCACTTAACAACAAACCAGGAGCCAGAGAGCGCAGTGGCTCTGTAGGATAAGCGCTAGACTTCAAACTACAAGATTGGTGGCTCAAGCCCACCAGTCACTTCAAGGGAGGAAGCTGAGGCTTTCTGATCCCACCAAGATGTATAGTCCTAGGAACCCTGAATAGACTAAACAGCAGATGCAGACTCGGTAATCCAAGGCTGAGACTACAGAGACAGTGCAAATAAGAACCGTGCATACGATCCGGATCCAGGACCACAATCCATAGACAGTCCTAGACTTAAATATCCTACAGAATGATAACCTGAAAAATAAAATCTGCAAATCACATGTACCACTACTAACCACCAATGACGCTTGACTACAGGCATCATATGGAGCCTGGTGGCGCAGCGGTTAACAACCTCTCTGTAGGAGAAAGGTGTAGCAGTCTGCTTCTTGGAAAGACTTACAGCCTTGGAAACCCTAGGCTATAAAACAGTTCCACTGTTCCCTGTTGGGTCATTATGAGTTTAACTGACGAGACGGCAACGTTTTTGTTTTGTTTTTATAAACACTACAGTCGCCGCGTTCTCCTCCCTCCCGGCACCCACCCCTGTAGGTGCCCTCTGAGGGGGGTGTACCTCCATGGGGTAAGCCAAGGAGCCACTTGCTCTTGCACCCTCCCCCAGCCTCTCACTATACCCCTCTACAGAGGTGGTCACCAGTGATGGAGGTCAAGGTGGTGGGGACTGTCCCCAGAGCACCAAGGCAGGTCACACCATCGGCTCGGGGGTATTCAAGGTACACCTTGGGAAAAACATAAGAAAAACGGGACTTTCTTGTTATTTCTTGTTGCTCCCTCAAAGATTTACAGCCCCGAAAACCCTATATAGGATTGTCTGAGTCAGAACCAACTTTACAGCACGTAACTCCTATCATTGTCATAGGTGTCTCTTGCTATAGATACTGCATTTGACTCATTCGGGTCTCATCTCCAATTCATGGGATTTGTGGCCTATCATCTGATCTGATTCACAGTTCCCACAGCCTTGCACACCAATAGCCTGTCGTCTGTCCTGTCAATCTGAGTTCCTTGGCTCCCCGACTCAGAGAGGTACCTACTAAGAAAGAAGGGCCAGGAATGGAGTATGTCCTTTGGACCTGGGGTCTCTGTAATGTGAAGCTCCTACATCCAGAGGAAGACTGACACCAAGACACATGGAGAACTCCAAGGAATGTTGGGCCAACAGATGCTGAAAGGACACCAGGACCATTCTCCAGAGCTGACAGCCTTCCATCAGAGCCAGTATGCTGAATTTGGACTTCTTACATTCTAAAGGACACCTGGTATGGTGGTTCAGCATCAGCACTGGACTGCAAATCACAAGGTCAACAAGGAGCTCTGGTAGCGTAGTGGTTCTGAATCAGGCTGTGAACCTTAAGGTCAGCAGTTCGAAACTACCAGTCACTCCAATGAGGCTTTCTGCTCCCATAAAGATTTACAGTCTCAGAAACCCTGTACAGGAGGGTTACTATGGGTTGGAACCGACTCAATGGCACATAACAACAGCAACAATGGGTGTGGTGCCGTGGGTTAATGTGCCAGACTTCAAAGTCATTTGAACTGCAAGGTCGGCAGTTCAAACTCACCAGCTGCTCCTCAGAAACCCTATACAGGGTCACTATAGGTCGGAACCAACTCAACAGCACTTAACAACAACAACAACAGGAGTCCTGGTGTGACACTGTGGGTTAATGTGCCAGACTGCAAAGCCATTTGAACTGCAAGGTCAGGGGTTCAAGATCACCAGCTGCTCCTCGGAAACCTTATACAGGGTCGTTATGGGTCGGAACTGGCTCGACGGCACAACAACAACATAGTTGGATATAAGATAGAATTTATCATTGTTTTTCTCTGCTCAAGACTCTCTCAAAAGTTCAGGAGTAGAGAAACTGAGACATCAAAATCGGTATTTTAAGATGAAAATAAACCTAAGAGAAATAATTTCAGTCAGCAGGCAGTGTACTACAGATAAGGAAACTAGGGCCCATGAATTGGTCCAAAATAAGGATGAAAAACAGAATAAGTGATCTACTTCACTCAGTAACTTTCACTCCAGTCTTTTCCAGTAGCCAGGGGGTTACTTCTCAGACATATCACCATACTTCTTACCTTTTGGCTTTTAGCACATGTAAAACAGCCCTCAAAAACAGCTCATCGAACTCAACCTGCAGCTTCTCCAGGGAATAGGGCTGTAGGGCCAACCCCAAGCCTTGGTTGTGGCTCACATACTGCGCCCAATGGTCACTCACGTAACTAAGGGTCATCCTGGAATGAAGACAGGTTATATACATCACTCACGCAAAACGCCTTCAATTTATCAGCATTCTCATATTATACACGAGGCATTAAACTATTCTACAGACGTTTACTAAGTTCCTATTATCTTCCAGGATTTGAAGGTAATGTAATGAGATTTTTAAAAGTAAATAAACCAAAAAGATCTCCCTTTCCTCATGGAACTTACATTTAGTAGTGAGCAAATGTGATGATGTTGGTGGATTAAAACTCACCAGCCACTCCTCAGAAACCCTCTACAGGGTCGCTGGGAGTCAGACTTGACTTGGAGGCACTTAACAAACAGAGCAACAATAAATAAAATTAATATCAAAAAAATTCTATTATCTTTTAACTTCATTTTTCCATGAACGTTCCATTTTCATGAAGCTCCCTTGTATGTATTTCTGTCACAAGGTAATAATTGACACTGAAAATACAAAGCACAGAGGGGAACATAGTATGTTTGGAGTTGGGGCAGGGTAAAGAGGTGGCCTGGGAGCAGGACATGCCTCACAGGCGAGGGGCACTTGAGTAAGGACATAAGGAGGTGAGAAGTCAGTCACCAGGGTATCTAAGGGAAGGACACGCAGGGAGGTGACCATGAGAAGGCTCCTGGTATGGTCAGCATGTTTGAGGAACAGCAAGAAAGCTGACAGGAAGCCAGATCATCAAAGGCCTGCTAGGCCACTGGGGGCACTTTGGTTTTTCCCAAATAGTATGAAGTCACATGAGCTGACTCAAGATTAAATGGGACACTCCAGCTATTGTGAGAACACATTGGGATTGGAGGAGGTGGGGTTGGGCATGGGTAGGAGGCAATTGTGATATTCAGGTCAGAAATAACCAGAGTAAGTGAGGGTAGTAGCAGTAAAGGTAAAAAAAGGCTACATTTTGGGAAAGGCCTATTTTGTTAATTAAAAAAGACGCTCATTGTTCACACTTTATCATCTCTGACATTGGGAGGTATGTTAAAATTCATGGCACGCCATAATTTGACAACCTTTTCTCTTTCTTGGTGGCACATAATATACATCTTTAGAATGAGTGGCCTCTTAGATTTGACAAAAGATGGTATTTGAAACCTAGAGATGACAGATTTTGCTGCCTGGAGTATAAAAGAAAAGTTAAGAATGAACAAGTGTTTTGGCTTGAGCCACTTAAAGAACAGAGATGTCATTTCCTGAAACTGGGAAGACTGTGGGAGCAGCAGCTTGGGAGGATGGGAAGAGAACATTCAGTTCTGGAATATTCAGTTACAATGTTCATAAGTCATACACCGTGGAGGAGCTGAGTTGGCAAGTGGACATAAAAGTTTCTGAAAGAGGCCAGGGCTAGAATATCAATGGTATTTAAAGACATGATAGTGGTGTGAGACCAAGAAGGGAATCTGGGTAAAGAGAAGAGTTCTAAGTACTGAGCCCTGCGGCACACCACCATTAACAGGCCCTGAACGGTGAGCATTCGACAACCATTGAGACACAAAATGAATGGCCAGTGAAATAGAGGAGAAGCCAGGAGAGGACAGTGTTCTGAAGGCCAAGCAAAAAACATGTTTTCAGGCCATCAAAAATACAGCTATTGATGTCTTCTAATTTGGAGCAAAGGACAGTGAAGGACACCACAGACTCGAGGAAGAAGTTAGTCCACAGGAGTAATGGTCCAGGTAAACCACAGTCTCTTCTAGCCTGAGACCAGAAGAGCTAGATGGTGATTGGCTACCACCACTGAACATGCTGGCCATTAGAATGTTTAGACTGGAAGACAATGTACAACACAACTTGAGTGATAGAGACTGAACCCCAGAGAGTATCACCCCAAGATACTGGAACTGAAGCCAGACCCAGTGGGCACCTTTCAGCCAAATACAAGTTGGCCTACAAAATAAATAAATAACACCCAAAAAGAAAGTGCTCCTTACAACAAAAAAATTTACAAGAACACAGATAAGAAACAGGGAGGGGAAGGAAAAACTGAAGACACGGAGACAAGGAAGGCAGGGGAGAAACGGGGAGAGAGCTAATACATCGTAGGGACATCAATCAATGTCATGGAACAAACTGTGTAAGAACTGTTGAATAGGAAACTAACTTTCATCTAAAGCACAATAAAATACTCAAAAAATATATTTTCCTCATCAGCAAAGTGGCCAAGCGGCAGACACAGAGATGTAGATCATTGTGAAGACCCTGCCAAGGCAAGACCATCACTCTCGAGGTTGAGCCCAGTGACACCATTGAGAATGTCACAGCCAAAATCCAAGACAAGAAGGGTATCCTCCCAACCAGCACCAGTAAACAGCTGGAGGACAGCCGCCCTCTCTAGACTGCAATGTCCAGGAAGAGTCCACCCTGCACCTGGTGCTGCGTCTGTGCAGCGCCATCATCAAGCTTTCCCTGCACCAAATCGCCCAGAAGTACAACTGCAACACAATGGTCTGCTGCGAACGTTTCGCTCACCTGCACCCCTGTGCTGCCAACTGCCGCAAGAAGCACAGCCACTCCAACGATCTGCGCCCCAAGAAGAAGGTAAAATAAGGACCCTCGCTGCTGGCCTCCCGCTAGTGGGGTTCTCCCTAGCCCCATGGCACTGGGCTCTCAACAAAGTTTCACTTGCATTGAACTGAACAAAAAAAGGTTTTAAATAATACAAGATGTTAAGAGCCATGACACAAATAAATATAAGCAAACCCATGTTCACTACAGCACTATTCACATTAGCAAAAAGAGACAGCTAAATGCTCATCAATAGAAGAATGGTTCAAGAAACTTTGGTACGTGCACACAATGGAATACTAGGCAATGCTGAAGCAAATGCTCAATCTATGAACTTGGAGGACATTATGCTTAGTGAAATTAGTCAAGCACTAAAGGACAAATACTATATGAGACCACCATTGTAAAAATTCAAGAACGGTTGTCATGCTAAAAAAAAGAAAACATTCTGTGAGGATTATCACAAGCGGGAGGGTAGGAAAAACTATTCATGGGCTACATGGCAAACACGTGTTAACTTGGGTGTCGGGTAAGGCAATATACAAAAAAAGGGAGGTTAGCAGAAGAAAAATGAAGGTAGTGGAAGACAAGAGTGCAAGAGTTAAAGTGAACAGAGGTAAATACTGTTCTGATGGTACATAAAAAGCTTAAAAACAAAACAAAAGATTTACTCCGGGAAGTAGATGAGAAGGTTCAATCCTGACCCATGGTAAGCTCACTAAGTTCAGACAGGGAATTCAAATCTATTTTGTTTTAGAAACAAAAGCAGGGATGAGAAAAGGGTTTTAGTTTGTTTATTTTTGTTTGGGGATGAAAAATAGCTTATTTATATGCTGAACTGGTTAAGATGGTATATGATACAATAATGATCCAGTAAAGATAGAAAACCTGATAATACAGAAAAGAGTCTATAAACTTAATTCCATGGAAAGCAATATATGGTCTCTTATTTACTCAGACGTATATCCATATATAAGGAGTTCTGGTAGTGTAATGGTTATAAGTTGGGCTGCTAACCTCAAGGTCAGCTAGTTCAAAACTACCTGGAGAGAGATGAGGCTTTCTGCCCCGTAAAGATTTACAGACTCAGACCCTATACAAGGTCGCTATGAGTAGGAACCAACTCCACAGTACTATACCACCACCACCACATCAATATATATTTACTCAGACAGAGTCCTGGTGTGGTGCTGCAGGTTAATGTGTGGGACTGTAAAGTTGGTTTAAACCACAAAGGGCAGCAGTTCAAGCTCACCAGTCACTCCTTGGAAACCCTACATAGGGTCGCTATGAGCTGAAGTCAACTCGACATCACTAACATTTACTCAGACACTGTACAGTAAAAACACAAGCCTAGTTTCCACTCAAATAAATGATAGTGCGTTCCCAGTGTAAGACAGTAGCTCCTGATTGGTAAGTCTACGCAATTTTTATTTTAATGGCATTGTTGTTGTTGCTAAGTGTCCCTAGGTAGGGTTTCTGAGGAGTGGCTGGTGAGTTTGAATCGCCAACCTTGTGGTTCAAACTGACCTTGCAGTACAGCGCATTATCCCACAGCAGTACAAAAATTAAAATCAGAGGCAACAGGACAGCAAAAGGCCTACTGCCAATTATCCACAGATGTGTCACCATTCCAAGGCAAAGGCTCAGCCTTAGAAGAATAGAGAGCAGAGGCAGAGTTAAGAGCCTGCCTTCCCACGGACTCCCTTTCCTCTTCCCTCTTCTACCCACCAATCATCTTGAGGACCTTGATTACCTCCTGAACAGTCAAATTTAACCCAGTTAAATTTGAGATCATATCTTGGGAAACACTGATAAAGTTGTCATCTGGTAAATGATGAAAAATAAAATCAACCCAACAAAATAAAAATTCTTACTTTTCTGAAAATGAGACCTTAAATATAGCAATAAATTACCCATCATCTCCAGTTATACAGTGTCTGCCCAATCAAGGCAAAGCAAAAAGACAAATGTTCCAAAAGCAGATTACCTGATCATATAACCAATGCGCTTCACAAACTGCCGATAGCGAGCTCTGTTAAAGGTTTCCAATCCCACAGCCAGAAGTTGCACTAACGAATTGGCAAAGGCAAAAATTTTCATCATCTCTTGAGGTCTTGTTGTTTCTGGTAAATAATCACCTAGAAATTAGCAAGAGAAAAGAAAAAATGAATATAATTACAAACGGACAAGTAAGGAAGGACACAGGTGAAAATACCACAATGACAAAGCAATAGATAAAATGGACAAGAATTAACATTCAATCCCCTTTAGGCCTGAAATTGACCTCAGCCTGATGACTCAATAGAAACAGGTATGTTTGGTTCAAACATTTCCAGCCAAACAATAGACAGGTCTGTAAGGGGAATAGTAACACAAGTGAGGAGTACACACTCCTTAGAATAAGCAACCATTTGAGACCAAAAGGGCAATATCTACCCACAGAGAAAGCTCAGAAAGGTTAGGAAAGGCGGAATGGAAATGGGAAACACAGGGAGGAAATGGGAAAAGTGTGGTATATTGTGGCAACTGCAATCAATGACATGAAACAAAATGTGTATGACCTGTTGAATGGAAAACTAATTTGCTCTGTACGCCTTCAACCAATTCACAACAATAAGTTAAAATTAATTTTAAAAAGAATCAACAATCCCTTTTACTCCTATATTAACATGAAATGAGAAAGTTGAGACAAAGTATAAAATTAAAGCCTTTTATTAAAGTTGGACAATGTGCGAGCTCTTTGGTCATCTTAGTGGGACATTACAGCCACAAGAGAGAGAAAGAAACTGTTATCAAGGCGATGCAATCAGCTCTCTGTGGTCAAGTTGGGCAAAAAGGAGCATGAATCGGGAGCCAGAAGTAAATAAAGTAACGCTTAATGCTAAGTTCCTTTGTCTGAGTTTACCACTACCACACTTCATAAACAACAAAAGAAAGTCACCTACCATTTGCCTTAAACCCAAGAAGATGCTGGAAGAGTTCATGAAATGGAAACTGGGAGAAAAGGATAACCAAGTCATCTTCATTAAGGAGAATCCAACTAGTCTCAGGGTCTTCGTCCTAAGGGAAAAGATGCTAAATCATGTCAGCTGATTAGATCAGATGGCTCACACTAAGGTCCAGAGTCACAGGAAATATACTGTCTCAATGTTACACATGGGGGATTCTCATAAGACTTTTCAAGGACCTTTCCTCCAGGATAACTATTCGGTCATAGTTCCACAGATGGGTTGGGTAAATCCCCTTACAAAGCAAGCAGAATTTTATGTGCATCTGGGTCACGTCTATTTCTAGCACCTACAACTTTTCTCATTAGATTTCCAACTCAGAGGAGGTCATTAAAAACATTCCTCAAAGTGGGGGTCTTCCTATAAAACTCATCAATTACTGGTATATGGAGGGGATTATAATCATTGTAATGAAACAAAGTATATGATTTGTTGAATGTAAAACTGATGAACTGCCCTGTAAACTTTCACTCAATTCACAAAAACAAAACAAAACAAAAAACTCATCAACCAAGACACTACAGTCCAAGTTCTTTTCGTCACAATTCTTGTCTCCCAAATTGAGGTCTAATCTAGTACCAACAAAATTCTCAGGGAGCAATTAGCATCTACTATGGATGACGGAAATTCCATTGTCCATTAGTGCTGTTGAAGGCAGGCTAAAAATAACAAGGATCATACACAGGGATTATATAAGGGAAATCTTTTTAAGCTAAATCCTGAGATATGCTAAATTAAAAAAGGGAATACAATAAAAAGATTAAGAAATCCTAAAACTATATCATCTAAATTTCAGCAAGGGACTAATGCAATTTATTTATAACTTCTTTAAGTCAATTCATTTTTATCTTCCCATAGCACTGTAGGATAATCACTAGTCCGCAAGGTTGGTTTGAAGCGCAAACTCGCCAACTGCTCCTCGGAAACCCTACAAAGGGTCGCTATGAGTCAGAACTGACTCAACAGCAACATGGGTACTTTGGACCAGTCTCTGGAGAAGAACATCACATTGGTAAAGTAGAAACGTCAACGAAAAAGAGAACAACTCTCCTCCAACAAGATGGGCTGACACACTGACACAGTGGTTGCCAACAATGGGCTCAAACAGCACCAACTGTAAGGTTGGTATAAAAACAGATAGTGCTTTGTTCTGTTACAGAGTCACTACGAATCTGTGTACAGCAAGCATACAGAAACCACAGATACGGAAAAGCAAGAGTGCTTTCCTCCCACACAGCCTTTCGGACTCAACAGCACTCCCTAATTCTTCATCTCATTCAACATTTCGTGAATGCTTACCAGAAGCCCAGGAGCACTATGGCTATGTAGGATAAACACTGAACCGCGAACCACAAAGTCAAGGGTTCGAGCCTACCAGTCACTCTTTGAGGAAAAAATGAGGCTTTCTGCTCCCACAAAGATTTACAACCTCAGAAACCATATTTAGGATCCCTATGAGCCAGAACTGATTTGATGACACTTAACAACAATGAGAAATCAGGCACCAAGCAGGGTTCTTAATTTTCTGTCACTGAGGCTAAATATAGTAAACCAATCAGAAACAAAAGGAGCAGCGACCACTCTGGGGGGAGAGCTCCCTCATTACAATCTTTACTGGTGTGGTGCTGTTGGATAAGCACTGGACTGCTAACCACAGTATCAGTGGTTCAAACCCACTGAAACCCTGTACAAGGTCGCTATGAATTGGAACCAACTCAACAGCACTTAGCAACAACAATCTCTCTCTAAAAGGACATGAAAATGTGTGGCAGACTTCTCTCATGTGTCTGTGGATTCACACACTGCTCACTGCAGCAGGGTGTGGGCTGCTGGTCCATGGCACAGAGGTTCGAACACCTTTGCTGTGCCTGAAGGGCGTTTCTCAAAGTGGTCTTTCAAAGACTGTGATATTGCTGTTGTTGGTTTTGACTCATAGTAACTCTGTATAAGGTTTCCAAGGACTGGCTAGTGGGTTTGAACCGCCAACCTGTGGTCAGTAGTCCAGTGCTTACCCTACAGTAGGAAACCCTATCCCTAGCTATCCTAGACAAACACATCAAATCAAAATTTAGATCATTTAAAAAAAAAAATTCATGGGGGGAATAAAAAAATAAAACTAGATCTGATAATTAGCTAGATTTTAAACATTAAATTCTGACCAGAGCTTACCCTACAGTAGGAAACCTTGTCCCTAGCTATCCTAGACAAACACATCAAATCAAAATTTAAATCATTTAAAAAAAAAAAAAAATTCATGGGGGGAATAAAAAAAATAAAACTAGAGCTGATAATGAGCTGGATTTTAAACATTAAATTCTGACCAAACAGAGCTGGAACAATGAGAGAGACCCAGAAAATATGAGACAAAGAGAACTTTGGCAAGTGCCTCAGACTGCCTGTAGGTAGGTGAGCTCTCAACCCCAGACACTTGTTAGAACATAAAAGCCCCATTGTAAACATTATATAATTGGGCTATATTGAGTTTCCAGGCCCCAAACCCTCCCAGATGGATCTTTTCTCAGGAGGGATGCATAGAGCACATAGGTTCATGACAGTGTGATTAAGTGACAAGTGGCTTCACACCCCATCTTGGGGATCACAAGAGTCCTCAACTCAAAGGACTATTGTAAAGATTCAAGGAGAAAGGTGCTGACAACGGTATCCAGTACTAAGAGCTCAGAACCTGTTAGTGAAAGTCAGGGCGATGCCACCAGTTACCTCTTCCCCCGCCTCATCCACTAGAGTCCAGGTCCCCGACACCGACCCCGAGGAAGTCAGGCTGCGCTCGCATGGCTTCATGTGGCACATGAAATCTGCTCGATTTCTACAAGAACAAAGGAGACAACTCCAGTTACAAAACAAGACTGCATTCTGAATCATTTTCTCATCAGCATGGGCCAATCTTGAAATTATTTAAATTAGTAAATAAAAATCCAAACCCAAACCCAAACCACTGCTTCAGAGTCGACCCTGACTCAGAGACCCTACAGGACACAGGAGAACTGCCCCTAAGGCTTCTGACACTATCACCTTTATGGACACAGACCACCTTGGCTTTCTCTCGTGTAGCAGCTGGTAGATTCTAACCGCTGATCTTCTAGTTAGCAGCCCAACACTTAACCCACCACGCCCCCAGGGTTCCTAAACCAAAAAAGAACTCTTTAAAAACCAACCTACAAAACCTTCTCTAATTGTGCTGGAGAGGTCAGGATCACTCTGAATTAGTGGCATCCTAGAAAAGCGTTTCCGTGAGCACAGCTCCTCGTACACAGTGGGACCTCAACCCATATGGACTGCTACAGATGCTTAGTTAGCTCGGCCTAACCATACAAAGTGTTGCTTTAAAAAACATGATTTACTGAATTTTAGAAAAGCAGTTAAGGATGATCTGCAAATAATGCAGAGGCTTGTTTGAGGCAATAAAAATACATCTAAATGAAAAACACTTCTGAGTCAAATCACATCTATCCCGTGTGTGGGAACAGTCACCTGACTGAGCCCAGGCAGTGAAAGGTCTACAATTCCTGCCAGTTGCCCAAGGTACCCTTCAGATCTGACATGTATCTATCTGCTTGTACACATCACTCAAATTTTTCTCCATCCTGTCTCATTTTTCTGTCTTTAGGACTGCTAACACCTATTCAGGTATGCAGACGCAGAGACCCAGAGTTAGGCCTGGTGCATTCCTTTCCAGTCATCTCTTTATTTCGTCAACTCCCTAATCCTTTATAGAAAAACATGACTTTTGCGTTCCCTCACTCTCCTCCCCATTTTCATTACCCCAATTAAGGTTCTGAGAAGAGAGAGGCTTTCCTGGGACCTAATGTCTCTGGTAGCGTAGTGGTTACAAATCGGGCTGCGAGCCGCAAGGTCAGCAGTTCAAAACTACCAGCTGCTCTGCGGGAGAAAGATGAGGCTTTCTGCTCCCGTAAAGATTTACAGCCTTGGAAACCCTGTACAAGGTCGCTATGAGTCGGAACTGACTCCATGGCACATAACAACAACAACGTCAGAGTAGCGTAGTGGTTACGAGTCAGGCTGCTAATCTCATGGTCAGCAGTTTGAAACTACCAGCTGTTCTGCGGGAGAAAGATGAGGCTTTCTGCTCCCATAAAGATTTACAGCCTTGGAAACCCTGTGCAGGGTCACTATGAGTTGGAACTGACTCCACGGCACATAACAACAACGTCAGAGTTGGAGTTCTGGTGTGACACTGTGGGTTAATGCGCTGGAATGCAAAGCTGATTTGAACCACAAGGTCAGTGGTTCCAGCTCACCACTTGCTCCTCGGAAACCCTATATAGGGTCACTACAGGTCAGAACTGACTCGACGGCACTTAACAAAAATAACAACGTCAGAGTTAGTGACACTATTAAAGGTCACCTCCCTCTTGATGCTGGGTTGGGTTCCAGAGTTAGGAAAGTCAGATAGCTGTAATCTCTCCATTAAGCAGAAGCATGTACTCTTCTGAAACAGTGAGATAAATTCTGAGCAAGAGGAATTTATGGCATAACAAGAACTCAGCTGTTTTCTCAACTTTCACAAGACCTAACTGTGAAGCAAAGGAGCTCTGGTAGCGTAGTGATTATGAATCAGGCTGCCAACCTCAACGTCAGCAGTTCAAACTACCAGCTGTTCCACAGGAGAAAGATGAGGGGTTCTGCTCCTGTAAAGAGTTACAGCCTCAGAAAGTCTGTGCAGGGTCGTTAAGGGTCGGAACCGACTCCACGACTTAACAACAACTGTGAAGCCAAGTCCCCAGTGGTGCACCCCAGTGGGGCTCCAGGCCAAGGGAGAGGTCTTACTAAGTATGCATCGATCTTATTTTTTCTGCCTATAATGAACCATATAAATAATGTGCACATGTATATAAAAGACAAGCAAGGATGTTGTACAAGAAAGCTGTCTGGGGCTCAAAAAATACAGAACACACAGATTATCTGCATAAAAATATCCTACTCTAATAGTAGTCAGCCACTTCACCATCTCTGGCTGTAAAATGAACCCGGAAATAATGGTCCGTGAAGGTTGTTCCTCCTGTCAATTGATAGCCACCTGAACTACTGGAGCTGCCATTGCTGCTTGATGTCCATCCTAATCTTCCTTGAATACCTTTATTCTTGTTCAGATCGCCTTAATAACTACGAAGGTTGTTGTTGTTGTTAACTGCTGTTGAATCGGTTCTGACTCATGGGAGCCTGTATAGGGTTTCCAAGCAGCAGCTGGTGAGCTTGAACCACTGACCTTGCAGCTCAAACCAACTTTGCAGTCGCCACCAGAATGTATCAAATCTAGACATCTCTGCCTTAAATGGCAGCCTTCTATTCAACTTATCCTAGTTAGTCATCTGTAATAACATCTCCCACATCTCCCTTTGCTCTTGCCAAGCTGATCTCCTCCCTGCTCCTTTCATGGCTATACTCACCTAACTCCAGTTCTTTGCTAACACCGTGCCCTTCCTTTTCTCCTCCTCAACTGAATAGGGCACCAACTCATGCTTCTTTAAATCCCTGGCTAAGCTTCTACTCGGCTTTCTTTATGATCTTCATTTCTACTTTGTTAATTATATCTTCCTAACTCTATGCAGGACCGCTATGGGTTGAATCAACTCAATAGCACTTAACAACAACTTAGCATTTAACTCTCTTGACAGTTTCTGCCACCGTCTCTAAATCTTCTAAAGAACAGACAGCATGGTGGGTTATGTGTTGGGCTGCTAAACAGAAGGTCAGCAGTTCAAATCCACTGCAAGACAAAGACGCTGTGTGCTCCTATAAAGACTTACAGCCTTTGGAAACCCTATACAAGACCACCATGAGTCAGAACTGACTCAACGGTAAGCAGCAGCAGCAGTAGCAAGGCACTTTTCACAATCGCATCCATGCCAGAAGAGGAACTATCTCATTATAATACACACCCAGGGAAATCCAAGAAAGAACTGTGAAAAGGCTACAAAGTTCATTTGGGCAATGATGACGCGGGAATTCCCTTAACAGACCTTCAGCAAGAGGCAGCATTTCCATTTCTACTTCACAGAGCTCTTCCATACTTACTGGACAGGAGACATGAGCAGGGCAAGGGACTGCATAAACTGAAAGACTCCCGATGGGTTATTCAACACTTTGATCTGAAATCAGTGAAGGAGAAAGCAGACTGTTCAAGACCAACAACCCAAGTGCCCATAATTTAGTTCACCAGCATTACGACAGGACTTCTGGTGTAGCGCTGTAGGATCAGCACTGGACTGCAAACCACAAGGTCAGCAGTTCAAACCCATCAACTACTGTGGAAACCCTATACAGGTTCGCTATGAGTCAGTTCGCTATTGAGTACTACAGAAAAAAGTCCTGTGCAGAACTGTTACAGAATTAAACACTACTCAAACTGCCAAGCCAAGCCCCAACTGAACTTCTGCAATTCTATTCTAATTTCATCAATTGAGGGTGGACCATCAGCATAAAAATTCTTGTGACTATATAGTAGGTATACTTTAAGACTTTTATTTTAAATATCCATAGTTTTTAAGTAGCCTCTTTTTTGGGGGGGTGGGGGTGGAAACAAGGGAAATTATTTCTTCAGGAAGCCTATCTATTAAGACTTCCCCCAATCTCCTCAAGATCAGAAGGCCATTCTTCATACCTGGATGAAAGGAACGGCCCATTTACTAACACCAGCAGGGCATCGGATAATATGGTTCAGAAGGAAGAGATGATCTCCAGGATAGCCAACTTTTTGTAACACTGACACCTGAACAACAAAGGACATATGGTTTCACTATTTAAAGAAGACGGCCTAGTTCAGTCAGTTAGCCAGTGTTTAAATACACGCAGTCTTTCAAAAGCATAACCAGACATAATGCATAATATCGAATAACTGAGTTTCTATTACACAGAGGCAGTGTGGCCCGTGAACCATTGTGTACTCTGATAAAAATTTTATAGCTTCTCTGTAAATACTTTCTGGCAACTTACTAGCCATATGTGAATAGATAAATAGCAAGGCAAATAATCAAATCTATTCTCAATTTTGATTAGTGTCTCAAATCCAAATAAGTGTGCTTAAAATAACACCCTATATTTAAGTACTCTAACATGAACCCGGGAGTACGAATGCTCTGTAGAATAAGCACTAGACTATGAATCACAATGTCAACAGTGGGAGCCCACCAGTCACTCTGCAGGAGAAAGATGAGGCTTTCTGCTCCGACAAAGATTTATTGCCTTGGAAACCCTAAACAGGGTCACTATGAGACAGAACAATGTTGTTAAGTGTCAAGTCGGTTCCAACTCATAGCAGCCTGGATACAGTTTCTGAGGAGCAGCTGGTGGATTTGAACCACTGATCTTGTGGTTCACAGTCCAGTGGTGATCTTATAGCGCCATAGCAGGAGTCCAACAACAATATGAACCTAAAAAAGCACCACAGTGGGACCCACCGAGAAACACAACAAACAAATATCCCCCTCCTCTGCAGCACACCTAACATCGCTCCGAAATCTTCCAAATCCTGATGTCTTTCTTCCTCCTCTTAAAAATGAAAAAAGTGTGACTAAGTGAACCATTAAATATACGATAAAAAGAAATCTATGAGGAAACTTTTTTGATCAAATGCCTATTCTCCAAATACACATCTAATCTTAAATTTGGTATTTTTATTTCTTCCTAAAATCTAGGATTCATAAGGTTTACTAGAGAAAAAAATCTCTTTGAGCTCAATAATGCACTAGAGAAATATAACCCGGAGTCCTGGTGTGGCGCTGCAGGTTAATGCGCTGGACCGCAAGGTCAGTTTGATCTGCAAGGTTGGTAATTCAAGCTCACCAGACGCTCCTCCGAAACCCTATACAGGCTCACTATGAGTCAAAACCGATTTGACAGCATTTACCAACAACAACAACAATATAACTTATTGCCATGTGTCATGATCAAAGGAAATGCCACTCCTGAACTCAGGAAGGGAATCAGCTGCTGAAGAAAAAACCATGAAGGACAAAAGAGATGGTCCTGAATTTCCAGACATTACCAGGGACACGGAAGAGACAGTGTCTGTTTCTGCTTCCTTACCAGTCTCTGCAGCCAGAGAAGGACATCCTCATAGAACTGCGCATCCTCGTGAACTCTCCTGGTAAACATGAACAGGACACTGATGCACTCCTTCAGCTGACACAGATCAGAGGGAACACTTCCTATCTGTTTCAACACTATCATTCAAAAGAAGACTGAATGAGTCTCACAGAAATGGACTTTTGGGGAGAAAAGCTCTTTAAAATATCTAGTTTATATTAAAACCCAAGGAGAAAAGTTGGATCTGAATTTTATTTGAATTTCTACTAAATATAGAAACCATGCTGTTGTTGTTATGTGCCATCGAGTCGTTTCCGACCCATAGCGACCCTGTATAGGGTTTCCGAGGGTGTAAATCTTTACGGGAGTAGAAAGCCTCATCTTTCTCCCGCGGTGCAGCTGGTAGTTTCGAACTGCTGACCTTAAGGTTGGCAGCCCGATTCGTAACCACTACGCTACCAGAGGACCTTAGAAGTATTTAATTCTGTGAAGCTCAAAAAGAAAATAATTACTTTATCAAAATATATTATATGTTCTTCTTAAAACCAAACAATAGTTTAGCCTAACTAATAAAGAATGTGTGTCTTAGGGCAACTGAAGAATTACACAGGAAGTGTAGGGGGCAGTGAGATTATGTTAATGGGGAGAAACAATTTCGAAAAGGAGGGTGGGAATGGTTGCACAATGGAATAACTGCACATATAGAAATTGTTGAATTGCTGCATGTTCTGTGCATATATTTTTCAACAACAATAAAAAATAAATTTTATTTAAAATTTATCATATGTTATCTGAAGGTCAGCAAATTTTTAGCTTACCCCAGCTCTTTGATTAGTTAATAAAACCTGGGGAGGGGAGAGAAGGGATTTTTTTTTTTAACTTTTAAAAATCCTAATATCTCTTCCAGAAATAAAAATTCTATCATTCAATAGTTCTCTTAAACACGTCCCCAAATTTGAAAAATTCAGATTACAGACCTGACGAAAATTAAGTAAAATAAACCTTCAACCAAGTCACAATAAAAATCCTTTCTTAAATAGAGAAAATTAAGTAAAATAGCCCAACAAACTGGACTAGCAAAAATAAAGTTGCAAAAGACAGAGAACAAAGAGGTATTCTAATCATGAATTCTCTTTATCATCAAACTATGTAGACTCTCCCAGACACATATAGGGCAGCAAGGGACATTATGGAGAAGCAGGGAAGGAAGACCTAGCACTATTCCCACGAAATCCCATTAAGACAGATGTCAATTCTGCACTGAGAAAGGCAAGGTGAAATAGCAAGGACAAATGGTACCTTGTAAACCAACTCATTTAGCCAGATTCTTTTTTCATTTCAGAGCACAACACAGAATGAAACCTCCATTACTTACCTAGACCTTGCTGATGAATTGCTAAAGATCTCAGAACAGCTGAACTATTGAGCAGAGCATGGATGTAAGACTCCACTTGTAATCTCGAGAGCACAGACGTGTAAGAATGCAGAGCCAGGATCTGGTGGAGGTGCTCGGATTTGGCGTCAAAGATCTTCTTTAGCTCTGCTAGTGCATTTTCATCCAGCTCTACTCTCTCGTAGCGATGATAGCCTGAAACTTTCACTTGATCTGCACAGATACCCTAGTTGTGGCAGTAGGAAGTAAAATAGGAAAACAGTTACTATTTGTACTTGAAAGAATCATGTGGCAGGAACAGACTATCTAAGATGCATTGGTTTCGGTACCATCCTCAGAGAGGTTATTATATCAATGAGATGCTAGACTACTGTGTAGAGACTAATACAAGCAAATAGACACAATCATAAAAAGAGTCCTGGTGTGGCAATGCAAGATAATGTGCCGGATGACAAGTCAGTTTGAACCACTTCAACGGTTCAAACTTTCCAGTTCAGCGGTTCAAACTTTCCATCTGCTCCTCGGAAACCCCATAAAGGGTCTCTCTGGCTCGGAACCGACTCAACAGCACTTAACAACAACAATGAGCTGTATAATGCAGTTATAAACGCAACACAAATTTGGATAAGAAGTCTTCCAAAGAAGTAAGTGGGAAAGGTACCAGAAAAAAACAGTGCTGGGCCCTAGGTCTCTCTTGATGATCTTTCTTACCTTCTACTTTATAATCACTGAGGTCAATGTGCTCTCTCCTCGAATTCAATACACCTGAACATCTCTGTACCTACCCTCATTAGTCTCTGGGGTTCTGCTCAAATGAAAGAGACCCTTTGCTTTTCAATACTAACTCCTGCACCTGTGTTTTTTATTATACGCTTTTGGTCAATAATTCTAAAAAGCTTCCCTTCCCATAGACTCTTATCTACAAAGAGAGAGACAGGTCTCCCAATGAATGAGCGTTCGCTAGAGAAAAACGCCAGGTTTTTTCCTGGTATCTCCTTCAGCTTCCCTTTACAGTCAAATGTGTCCAGATTGACCTTCCCTTCCCTGCCATTCCTCCGAGCCCATAGTGAAATTGCTTTCCTAATGGTCACCCTGGGTTCTATGGGGTCTCACCTAACTGTCTTCTTTGTTTTCTCATCTCTCTCTACCTTGTTACGTGGATCATCCTCTCTTTGACATTTTTTATCTACCAAAAAGTTCACGGCATTATACCCAAGATCACAAATTAGTGGTTGATGGCTGAACTGGGCATGATTAGTTGTTGGAAGTGCTGTGGAGTCGTTTCTGATTCGTAACTATCCTGTATAAGGTTTCCAAGAACAGCAGGTGGGTTTGAATCGCTAACCTTGTGGTTAGCAGTCCAGTGCTTATCCTACAATGCCACATCAGGAGCCCTTTGTTGTTGTTGTTATGTGCTGTGGAGTCAGTTCCGACTCATAGTGACCCTGCATAGGGTTTCCGAGGCTGTAAATCTTTACGGAAGCAGGCCCCATCTTTCTCCCACAGAACAGCTGGTAGTTTCGAATTGCTGACCTTGAGATTAGCAGCCTGATTCATAACCACTATGCTACCAAAAGCCCTAGAGACATGATTCTCAAAGCCTACACTGTGTGACTATGTGCATTTAATTAGTTGCCAACATTTACAAATCAGGATCTCTTGGATAATAATCCAGATGTCTAGCTTCTCTTGGAAAATCACAAGACTTGGCAACGCTGAATCAAAACAATCTGCTAGACCTCAAGAGAGCTGTCCCTCTAGACAGACCATGAACTGTCCCACTCAGCCATCTTTCCTCTTTGAGATTCCCTGCATGGGTCCTGTCAGAACCTTACTTCGTGACCTCTGTGTGACATGTGTCTGAGCTAGGACAGGGTCATAGAGGGAGGAGGAGCCAACTCCAGACTTAGAAATGTCACAGGAACAGTAGCCCCACTGGTGCAAAATACCTGGACAGACATTTGTTCCTCCTTAAAGTGCCACAGTCGACTTGTAGCATTTTGGCAATCAGATACCAGGGTAAGTAGCTCAGCTTCAGCCAGCAGCAGCTGCTTCCTACAGCGTGAGTAGTTCAAAAGCAACTCATAAAACTCATGCCTGTCCTGATGAGCCATGCAGTCAAATTCTTCTAAGTATGACTCAATGTTCTCCAGCCAGGAGCCAGGCTCAAAGATTTTTAGCTGTTCTTTAGTAAATGGTACTAGTTCTGGTTGAGATGGCAGTTCAGGATAGAGTCGTTCATTACGCAATAGAGGTTTCACAGCCACCAAAGCTGGTTCTTCTCTAGTCATTTCAGAGGGCAACTGGGGATACAGTTTTTTCACTACAGGTGGGTTTAAAACTGTGGCTTCACAAGAACTCTGCAAGCCAACACTGTGTAGCACCTCTGAAGACAGAGCCAAGTCTTGTTTGTCTTCTGTCCTATTATGAGATGCTCTGAGAACCTGCAAAGTTCCCATTTCTTGTTGAAAATGAGAAAAATCAGGCTGCAGAATGCTTTCTGAAGGTCCACAATGTAACAATTTATTTTCTTCTATTTCTGTAAAGTTCTTGGGGGTTTCTACTTTGGTTCCAACATCGTCTCCAAGGTTGACCTTTGGCTTGATGGCTCCTTCCTCAACATGGGCTCTGACCTCTCCCCCTTCTGTTAGGGTGTTGGTGACACATGTCAAGGAGCCAGCATTGCTTATAGTTAGGGAGGTGAGTGGAACATCAAACATTTCACTCTCCTTTTGTTCACTGGCTTCATCCTGTGGCTGGGAGTCAGTTATTTTCAAAATCAGATCTTCTTGGGTTTCATCCACTGCAAGAGGGATTTCTTGCTCTCTGGAAGTTTCTAGAAGGAAGACGTCTTGGGACTCTTCCCTCTGAAGGGTTTCACATTTCTTCTTTTCCTAAAAACAAAGTTTATAATGTGAAAAAACTTCAAACACATCATAATAAGCAGCAAATGATGACATAAGGATGGAAAAGGTAATCAGCTTGTTCTCCATTCAACTAGAGGTGAACTGAAATAGGACCGTCTCCAAGTATCTTAAGACCACAATAGGTTTTTGGATTCACTGGGGACAAACACATTTGCACAAGATCCAAGCAGAGAAGTTGGAACAACCTGAGAAACAATATGATTGCAACTCATAGGATAAAACAAATACCCATAATCCCCTTATTTCCACAAATAAGTGGATAAATATATAGGCAAGAAGCAATAACTCTTTCTTATAGAAGCATTCCAATCAATAAATATAGAAGGAATTTAAAAACCACCCTTGGAACACTACAGTAACTGCCACAAGCAAGGTCTACTGATGGGTAATTTGTTAATTGAGTACATGAACGTTTAAGCAGAAACAGGATATCTACACACTCTCAAACTATCTCCTCCTAAATATTCAGTAATTATAAAGGGGGAAAAAACAAGTAAATTTCAGTGGATAATCCTGGCAGACAATACCTTACCCAAGTTAATTGATAACCATCACTAGTATTAATGCATGGAGTCCTGATGTGGCACTGTGGGTTAATATGCCAGACTGCAAAGCCATTTGAACTGCAAGGTTGGCGGTTCAAGCTCACCAGCCTCTCCTTTGGAAACCCTATACGGGGTCACTATGGGTCAGAACCGACTCAATAGCACTTAACAACAACACTGAGTCCTGGTATGGCACTGCAGGTTAATGCACCGAACTGTAAAAGTTGTTTGAATTGCAAAGTCAGTGGTTCAAGCTCACCAGCCTCTCCTCGGAAACCCTCTACAGGGTCACTATGGGTTGGAAAAGACTTGACACTTGAGGGCACTTAACAACAACATATTGTCGTTGTTTTTGTTGAGAGCCATCCAGCTGGTTCCAATTCATGGCGAGCCTGTAAAGGGTTTCAGAGGAGCAGCTGGTGGCTTTGTACCATTGACCTTGTGATTATCCTATTTGAATGTCCACACACTGCAGATCTGCAAACATCCCTAGGGTGTGTACATGGGAAGAGGAAGTTTGCTGTGATCTTTACCAACGGCATCAAGGGCAGGGGTGAGGACTCTGCTGCTTCCTCCCACACTTCTCCACAGCATAGCATGGATGAACTTTAAAAACATTATGCTAAGTGAAAGAATCTATCCACAAGGAACCTGTATTACATGATTCTGCTTATAAGAAACGTCCAGAATAGGGAAACTGCAACAGAAGGAAAGTAGTAGCCTAGGTCCTAGTGCCTGGTATAGCAATGTAAGATAAAAAATGGAGTGCTAATTACAAGGTTGACAGTTCAAACTCACCAGCCGCTCCTGAGAAACCCTATGCAGGACTGCTGCTGAGATAGGTCCTAGTAGCTTGGAGAGAGAATGGGAAGTAACTTAATGAGTACAGGGTTTCTATGAGGGTTGTTAAAAATACTTAAACTCTGGGTGGCAGTTGCACAACCCTGTGACCATATTAAAAAGTATGAAGTGCAACTTTAAATGAGTGAATTGTATGGTACGTGAAACATCTTTCAATCAAGCTGTTTATAGATTTGTACTCTCTTAAACTATTGTTAAGTGGCATCGAGTTGATTCCGACTCACAGCTACCCTGTATAGGGTTTACGAGGAGCGGCTGGTGAGTTTGATCTGCTAGTTTTGCAGCTCAAACCAATCTTCTGGTCAAGTGCTTTTCCTAAAGTGCCACACCGGACTCCTCTCTACCACGCAGTTAATTCTGACTCATGTTGTTATTGTGTGCTGTGGAGTTGGTTCCAACTCATAGCGACCTTGTACAGGGTTTCCAAGGCTGTAAATCTTTACAGGAGCAGAAAGCCTCATCTTTCTCCTGCAGAACAGCTGGTAGTTTCGAACTGCTGACATTGCGGGTCTCAGCCAGATGCGTAACCACTACGCTACCAGAGCTCCTTATTCTGACTCATAGTGGCCCTGTATAGGGTTCCAGACTATAAATCTTTATGGGCGCAGACCTCACCTTTCTACTCAGGATCGGCTGGTGTGTTTGAACCACTGACCTCATGGTTACCAGTCCAACGCTTATTCCACAACACCACCAGGGCTCCTCTACCAGCCCCCTCAAAAAACCAAACCCACTGCCATCAATTTCAAGTCCTAGTGACCTTACAGGAGCACACAGCCCATCTTTTTCCCTCAGGAGCAGTTGGAGGCTTTGAACTGGTGACCATGAGGTCATTTATTAGCTCCACCACTGGTCCTTGAGACGTACTCAATGCTGATTGGTAGAAAGACAAAGGAGACAGAGAGGTGGAAGCAGTCAGATTAACCACAAGATTTAGGAACAACAACACTCCTGCCTCTCCTGCCCTAAGGCTTCCCCAAGAGTTCTAGACTGTCCCTCAGGTAGTTTTGAACTTCCTAGCACCCCTCCACCACTTCACCTCAACTCCACCTCACTGCTTCCTCTCAAAGCCCTGCAGGATTGCTCTTGCAATTTTAAGTCCTCCCATTCAACTAAGCAACATGAAGCCCATTTTACTACTGTACAGGGAAGCACTGGGATGTTAACTGCAAGGTCGGCCACTCCTCAGGAACCCTATACAGGATCAGGAAGGGTGAGAATCAACTCAAGGGCAAAGACAGGGAAGCATGAGGCATTTTACTTCTGATTATAAGTCTGTGATCCCATAAGGTTTTCTGTTTGTCTTTTAAAGGGAGAGCAGCTCTCCTTTTGTTTATTATTTTCCCCTAATGGTTTCAAAGACCCCAAACCCACTCTTGCAGCACTGGACCCTGGGTGGGATAGCAGCAGTTAGGCAGAGCACATGGTTTGGGCATAGGCTCGCAGGCTACTCCTACTCAAGCTGTCAGCCGCTTTTCGGCTCTATCTCCACTGCTTCCTCTCATTGCCACTACAGGCAACATGGGTCTGGTCCTGTTCTCTTGTATAGCTCCCTTGAGAGGGCAGAACCTCTGTGGTGAGAAGAGGGCACCTGCTACCTTCATCACCAAGTGCCAAGGCCTTAATCCTGAAGACTCCCAGTGATTTTCTCTAAAGCACAGAAGAAGGGGAGGAGCCAAGACTCCAGCCTCTGACCTACCAGGAATTAATCCCAAAAAACCTAAGACCAGTATCTCCAAAACACTGCTCCCAGCAGTCCTGGCTCTCCACAGGATGGACAATGACTCTTAACTCTGACATTCAGTGCTCTCAATGACTCAATTAGGAATCTGTCTCAAAACAGAATCTTCCCTTCAAACTCCTACAACATGTACTTGTCATCGAGCTCTGGTCATGCATTGCCTCATGTGGGTGATTTACCTTTATGCTCTGTCTCCTCCAAATACAAAAGGGCAAGGGCTCTACCTTATTCTGCTTTGGACCTCTGAATTTTTGACACTGTGCTCAAGCAATGTTTCTTTCTTGAAACAACAGTGATGACTTATAACACACAGAATTCACTGAGTACCAACTGCACATAAGATGAAAAAATTCAAGAAATTACTAAATTGTCCAACAAATACCTATACTTAGCTATATGCTCTGGCTTTGCATAGTGCTTATGAATCGGAGTCAGCAGTTCAAAACTACCTGCTGTTCCACGGGAAAAAGATGAGGCTTTCTGTTCCAATAAAGATTTACAGCCTTGGAAACCCTGTATAGGGTCGCTATGAGTCAGACCAACTCCACAGCACATAACAAACA